TTTTTTTTGCAAAACAACAAAACAAAAAGCGTACCCCTAACGGGCCACACTTTTAGACAAAAAAAAACTATTATTATTATTTTTCTCGTGCGCACATAATCCACCCACGATCCCTCTAAACAGCTTTTTTTGGAAAACAACAAAACAAAAAGCGCACCCCTAACGGGCCGCACTTTTCAAAAAAAAGACATTAAAAGGATGAAAAAAGGAGAGCACGTTTGGCAGCAGTTCATTCCTCAGGGGCGCCCCAGCTGTTCGACACCCGGGGCTTGGTAGCAGCGCGGCGCACGCCACAAGTGCCGTCTTGTGTTTGTCGACGCGCTTTGTTACCGCAGCGGCTTTGCTCCTGTCTCCCGTGGCTACTGCAGTGGTCGTCATGTCTTCGCCGGCTCGCATGGCCGCAGATCCGGCGGCCGCGACCACCATTGCGGCAGGGGCTGACTACGCCGTCGTCCAAGATCCCGTCCTCGTGCAGCGCGGCGACTCCCGCGTCATGGATATCGATCGCGTGGGGGTGTTTCCTGGGCCGAGGTCGTGCGCGGACACGATAAACCTGTTCGTGTGGATCGCCGTTGTGCAACCGCTGGTAGACGCGCACGACTACAAACCCAAACCCATATTTCTGGATCTTATCTGTGGTCGACGGCGCGTGACGCGGGCGGGAACGGAGCGGAGATCCTCACGCGCGCTATGATTGCTCTGATCCACGCCACGCTCGACTATCTCTTCAAACGGGTCAACCACAGGGGCCTCCGCGTGCTGCCCGACGCTGTCTTCTTGCCGTCTGTGTATTCGTCAGCCCCTCCTGCGGCCCAGCCCGTGGTTCCGTCGGCCCCCCAGCCGGCTCCCGGCGCGCACGCCTTCCCCCCTGCGCCCGCAGCGGGAGCCGCCACAGCAGCCGCTACACTTTCTGTAGGCACCGCTACGACCGCGACTTCAGGCCCCGTAGTAGCACCGGGGAGCCACCCGGAGGACGAGGACAGCGCGACAAAGCGGGCGCGCACGGATGGAGCGGAAGGAGCGGCTGGCAGTTCGGTGGCGGGAGAGCCCTCCAAGAGGATAGCAGTCGGAGACAGCCCGGGCGGAGATCGTCCGTTGCTTAAGGTGTTGGTGCAGGCGCAGGTGAGTTTTACTTTCGGCTTTTGGGTGAGGTTTTGCGACGGCCTGCCTGTAGGGGGGCGCATTCGGCGCGAGTTAGCGAAAGCAAAACATCTTCGCTCAGATCCTCTCGTACACCAAACCTGTCGCTTGAAGTCGGCACAATGCACAGCTGTGGGGATCACGCACGATAACCTGAGACAAGCGAGCACTGAGGCGTCAGATATAACGCTGGGCATGCCACCGGGCTCGACGATGAGTTGGTCGAAGAGGAAACAGTACAGTTGGAGGCGTGAGGCAGAGCCGTCGGTGTGTTTGGTCTTCGATCGTTGATTTTTCAACTCGGAACAAGCGGTGTTGTTTTTTTCTTAGGTCCGGCAGGGCAACTCGCGCTGTGGTTTGTGATCGTCATTTCACCTCGGCTGCAGCAGTCGCATTACCAATGTCGTCAAACGCGCGAGATAACGCGAATACGATGTTCTGCGGTAGACGTCGGTGGCGTTGGCTGCATTTGCTAGCGCGTTGACGAACGTTGCACGAGTACTTGTCTTTCGCGAGCCGCTCAAGTTCATCCGCGGACCCATAGCATTGGTTTGAAAAAGGCTAGATATATATTCTTGATTTGTGACGTACGTATTTCAGTGGGGTATGCATCTGCACGACTGCACACGGGCGCGAACGCATAACCCCTCAAGTACACGCACGTGCACTGTCGGCCGTAAGAGCGCCCGGGAGGGTCGGCAGGCACTTCGTAGCCAAGTTCAGGCACACTCACATGCACCCGTACCGTACAAAAAACTCTGGCACAAACGACAGCCCAGGGCGCACGGTACGCACGGCAGAGCACAGTGTACCCACGCACGGTACAAACGACAGAGCACAGGGTACGCGCGCACGGTACAACATGGGCAAAAGCCTCGCACACACAAAGTACCTCACAGCACATTGAAACCCACGCACGCCTACGCACAGCGGTATGTGGGAGACTTGTTCCCATACGCGCAGGCACATGTATTTGGTCGAAGCACGCATATTCGAGGGCTTGCACAGCGGGGTTTCGCGTCGTTACTCGTCATTAGCAGCGAGCGGTGCAGACACTAGAGACGAACACGCAGGGCGCCGGTTGGGGGTACAGGCTTTTGTGCCGGGCACGACGCAGCTGATGATGTTGTCGCACCCTGTGTTCCCTTTTCCCTGCCGTAAGCTGTATGCTCTTAGTATTGCCTCCGGCCTCTCTTTGTGCTTTTCTTCTTTCTTTCTTTCTTGTTCTCCATGCCCTCTCTACGATGATCTTGGACGATACCTCGA